AGCTTTATTCCCACAGTCCACTACAATCCAACTGTGCTCGAGTGGAAAACGTGGGCTCGCATGTTTGCTTTGCCTCGACTTAATTCGTCCCAGTTAAAGTACCAGAAACTATCTCTACATCCTAAAAAAAAAAAAAACCTCCTTTAAATGTATCCTTTAAATAAATAAATAAATAAATAAATAAATAAAGAGGAACAAAATTCAGTAATAAATAACCCAAAGTAACAAACTGTAGCTGTCACAATGGATGTCGTTGGCAAAGCAGCGAATACTGTCCGGGAACAAGGAGACAAATCTTCCACACAATTGAATTCAGGTCACCCAAATCAACCCAAATATGCAGATTCATTAGCATTTGCCCGGTGGGGTAAGCTACTGTAATGCAGACCCCCCACCACCCAGGCTCTACTGTATAAAAGAATAATCAGATTATGTTAAGCAGAGATGATGCACACCAGAATACAAGCACGGGCGGTTAACTCACAAATGATCAAATCCAGACAAGACCTCTGACCACAGTATCCTGTAATGAGTTGGATGCGGTGGGGAATATTTATCCGTATTAGAATTGCTTATTACATTTCTGTCATCAAATACAGATTTTAGCTGACAGCAATTAATAGCATATTACTTCAGATCAGTTTGGTTATCAGTTTCCCAAAGCCAAAGAGGATGCTTATTCCTGGAGATCAAGGTCAAGAGCCATGCTTTATAGCAGTGCAAACCATCTTCCTCATTCTCCTATCACTTCCTCAGACAAAGAAAAAAAAAAAAAAACATGTATGCAAGCAAGCACAATACACGACGGAGCGAGTCCCTGCCTCTCGCCCTCCTCCGACAGCGTCAATGGACCACTGGGAGAAGATGACAGTTGCGTAAGATTGATGAGCTGTAGGCCAAAGGGTGCATCCCCCTCGACATCCTTAGGAAGCACTTTGACTCGGCTTCTCTCGGCTCCCACAAAACCCCGTGACAGCTGATACAGACTTCTACAATGCACCCACGGATCCCAGTGACACCGGTGACACCACGCCTTCACATGTCTCAATTCAGGACGTCCCGAGTGGGTGCCGAGCCCGGTTGCGAACCCGGCCTCGCCCCCCCCTCCAAAACCACGCCTTTGGTGACACAGCGGTCTGGAGAGGGCACGGAGAGGAAGTGGAGATGTCAGGAGTCTGGATTTTTTTTTTAATTGATGAGTGGACTTGAATGTGGACCAGGCAAAGCTGGCCTTTTGAAGAATCTTCAAGCCAGAATGAATTTATTAATAGGCGCTACTTCAGTAACCCAGCCTATGGTAAACATACTGACAGGATGGGCTATTGAGCTTGCTCCAGGGTGGCACCTCATTATTCCCCCGAGCTGATAAAAAGATCCCAGCTCCAGCTTTCAGAAGCAACTCATGACCAGCACAACTCAAGTTCTCTGAGCGGTACCCTTTGCGAATTTATTTCATGTATTTGAACCACATTCAATGACAGTGCTAACATGCCGATGTTTTGTAGATTGTTTACCACTGTTGATCATCTTAGTTTAGCGTGTCAGCATGCTAACCTTCGTGTATTAGCACTAAAATTAAAGTACCAAATTTCATGGCAATCCATCCAATTGTTTTCCAGACGGTTCACTCAAAACCACAAATGTCAACGACATAGTGGCGCAAGAGGAAAAGTCAGGGGGATCACCAACGTAAGTAGATTTGTCCTCGAAGGACCATGAATGTCTGTCCCACATTTTGTGGCAATCCATGTCATTGTTGTTGAGATATTTCAGTCTGGACCAAAAGAGGTGGACAAACCTAGAAAATCCCTAAAAATCAACACGGAGTAACTGTTGCATGGTGAGGCAGTTCAGAGCAAAGACCATTACAAATAAAACAACTTTTGCATCCAGGTGCTTGGTGGAAAGTATGAAAAATGTAATAATCTCCAAACATTCAGTCAAACATGTACTCCTAACTAATCCTTCAGTCTTCAAATGGCTGTTTACTCCGAAGGGTGCGACATCTGACCAAACACCAGGGAGTGTAACAACTAGACTACATGCTGCAGCTTTGTGTAAGTGACATTTCAAAGCTCTTAACTGCTTTCTCGTGGTGCTTTTGGATTCTTGCTCGACTGAGACCGACATGAATACACACACGTGGGACATTGACTGACACAGATACACAAAGCAAACAGCAACAGACTGGGAAAAGGCCTCTCATCTCTATCAGCGTTGTCATTTAAAAGCCCCCCACCACACACACACACACACACACACACACACACACACACACACACACAC